GCATTTCTAATGAAGAAGGAAACATTTACTTACAATATAAATATAATATATATTTTTTAAGTTTTTTTTGGCTCACAAGATTAATATCCTACACAAAAATTTTTTGAAAAATATTGCCGAGTTCCGGTTCTTACATTCCTTTCTTTCAACAACGTAAAATATAGCTTTACCATCGTGCAACCGATATGACGTTACGGCAGTGGGATATTTTTGGTTTTGTATTGTGAAGGAGCTGTTTACAAAGTTGCTTTTATTTTTATCGAATCATTTGCAACCAGTTGAGACAGAACGGGAAAGTAATGGTGGGGACAGAAATGCATCGTTGGCATATGCAGATGAAAGGGATGATGAGATCGATGGAGACATATTTTGAGCGGAAAGATTTGGAGGTGAATGTTGAAAAGACGAAGATTATTTATAAAATTCTCTAAGGGCGGAAGACGGAAAAGGGAGAAGTGGGCAAAGGTGGAGGAGGTAAGAGTATTTACATACCTGGGTTTTAACTTTCAAGGGGATAATGGGGTGGGGGATCATATTAGGCAGAGTTGGAAAGGCAGGTAGATTATTGGAGCAGATATAGAGCTGAGGAGAACGAATACTTGGAAAAGATTTGTGCAGACGGAAATATGGGGGTGGAAGAAACATAACATGGTGGAGCCAGAGAAATCCAGGAGAAATATTGAAAGTGGGTCTTGGGGTTGAGCAGGGAGACTCCGGGATATATGTATAGTGAGATAGTAGTTGATGCTGGAGAAGATGAAGGTGAAAGGGCGATAAAGTACGAGGATGGGCTAGAGCAGAGGAGCCACTATAACATTTTAGGAAAGTGTTAGAGGGAGGTTAAGACTGGAGTGAGGGAGTATGGACAACAAGTAAGAAGAGAATTATACCAGAGTAGGATACTCAACAGAGAAAGTATAAAGAACGAGGAGGGATAGAGATAGAGATGTGGAAAAGCAGGAACGGCGTGCTCAGGTGGAAGAGGGGAGATACAATAATAAGTATAAGGTCATACTAACACAGAAAATTCCAGGACATTTTATGGAGGAGGGTAGAGGGAAGGAAAAAAGTATGATTACGCGATTTAGGTGCAGAATAGAAGAGAGGGCGGATGAGATTAGCTGGGCGGATGAGGAGAGGATGTATAGATTATGTGGGGATGATTGGGAGACAATTGAGCATATGCTGAGGTGTGACAACTTCAGGCAGGGTGGTATGGAGTGGGAGCGCGTGCTGGGTGGAGCGGGAGAGAGTGGATGGTAGAGGTGATGAAGGAGAGGAGAAGGGGAGGGATTCTGCCAAAATTATATACATGATGGTACGGGAGGTAACAAATTATTATAGGAATATACCATAAACTCTATACAGAACACCGCAGGATCAACAAATGGGCGAATACAATGTAGATGAATTAAAAACGATTTCAGCATTTTTTTTGTGTGTAGGTCTTGATTAAAAATCTATGCTTTCTGCTTGTTGAAGCAATAACATTCTTTACAAAAACGTATTTTTTGCAATGTTAAATCAATTAGAGTTATTACGATGAATAATACATAAAAAAAGTGAAGAGTAAATCATAAAATTTTCATATTTTCGTGTTTATCTCGATCTCTATGCATCTGAGAACAAAAGTGCAAGAGCACCTTACATTATTAGAACACATAAGGCGCTGTGGCATCTGATAGCTGCTTCTGGTACCTTTCAAATATCCCTTATACATTTCTTAAGAGATCTTTCTACGGTTTTGATTTCTAGTTGAGTTTTCAATGGCTCTATTAGCTGAAAGACCAAGTCATTAATAACTGTTCTTTTATTCATTTTGTCATTGGTATNAAAGGATAATTACTTCTTCTTTTTCGCTTTTCCTTTACCATCTTTTCCTTTTCCACCTTTATCTTTTTTACTACCTTTGGGTTTATTAGGATCGATAACGGCTTCTGGTGGAATAACATAATCAGCATCTTGTGAAAATTCAATCGAATACTCTCCACTACTTTTACTCGATTCACTTGTACCGGAAACTTCGATGCTTTCGTGACTCTTATTCATGACCAATACATTAAGCCATTGAGTAGGTTCTTCAAGTTCACACGTGATCGGTCTTAAACCACCGCATTTTGGAAATTTGTTATCCAATGTTTTCCTTTCAAACGACTCCGTAATTTGTCTTTCCAAACTAAACGTCAAAAAATTAAACGCCATCTACCCAAAAACTCCAACTTTCGATTATCGTTAATCCTTCTTACTATACATTTTTCGTTTCAAATGATGAAGCTTAAAACGTTTTTCAAAAGATTATTCCAGATTGTTCGATATGTACGAGCTGTATTAGTTATTTATAGAGATCCACAGACCAAATCCTACAACAGCAATAAAAGTATGAACATTCTTCAGACCCACAATCGAAGGTAATGTGAAGTGGACTTCCCTACAAGTTCGCCAACGGGAACTGAAAGCACTAACAGTGAACTTACATTAAGGATCTTCATCAGTCTTGATGAAAGTGACATTTGTCTAAGAGATCTTTCTACGGTTTTGATTTCTGGTCGAGTTTTCAATGGCTCTATTAGCTGAAAGACCAAGTCATTAATAACTGTTCTTCTATTCATTTTGTCATTGGTATGTGGGAAGTTAAGTAATATGGCAGCATTTATTCCACTATGATCTAACATTCCATAAAAGAATATCATAGGCCAT